ACTAGATGATATAGCCATATAAAGACATGTTGATCCCTTAGACTCTATTCGACCAGAGAACAGGGAAAGCCGACTGTATTTCGACAAATGTCCGTCGACATACCCGAGTCGACTTCTGTCTAGTCGACTTTCTATTGTAATAATGGTTTAGGGTCTCCAGCCAGTCGACGTCGTGGAGTCGACCTGGTATAAAGTCGACTGGCGAAAGGTCGACATCTTCCTAGGTATAGCCGCTAAATCAGGGCCTAAAATGAGTCATCCATACTCGAGGTCGACTCCTCGTTCCTCGAGTCATAATGTATAATGACGATCTCATACACTCTGCTATATCCTTCGCAAGACCTCTTGTCCCCGTATGGATAAGAAGGAATCTGGTGATGACTCAGCAAGGAGGGGAGACGAACTGACCAGGGCAATTTGGACCTTTTAGGTCCACCGACTTGGGGTATTTCAGGCATCACAGGTAAAATTTCCCTCATATATAAAGGAGAAGAGGTAGCCCTAAACCCTAACTCCCATTCATTCTATACTCTCCTCCCTAGCTGCTGCTCTCCCAGAAGCAGCTCTTTCCATCTCTCTCACATACTGACTTGATCGTAGGAGGCTCTACGCCGGAAACCCCTCCGGCGTTGAGTTCTTGTAGGTATTCTTGCGGTTCAGCAACGGTTTGAAGGCGATTTAGGCGGATCTGAGCTCGTTTCCATTAGTTCACTCCAGATTTGGGAGGAGACCCATCAACGACCAAATGGACCTGGAATAGCCTAAATGAAATAAAATGAGCACAAATTGAACATTGAAAACACATAAAATAACAAAAAAAAAAAAAATACAAAACAAAATACATAACTTATATCTATTTACTAATATATAAAAATGTTTAACCATTCATAAAATAATATATAAAATTTTATAAAAACATTTTGGTCACTAGAAAAAAAATAAAAATTCATAGTAATAATTTTTTTATTTTATTTTTTTCTTTTTAGCATTTTCTATATTATTTTAAAGAATTTATTTATTGGTTGATTTGATTTTTTGATTCCATTAATTGAAATTATTTACAATTGTATAAATAGCATGTACATTAAAATCTCCACTTTCACGATATTCTAAAAATAAAATTTTATAATTATAATAATTTTTGCAGAATTAAAACAAGTTAGGTGTCACTCAAGTATTTTCAATTCCTCTCTTTCCATGGGAGCCCTGATTACCCGCCGCGCCGGAGTGTAGGATTGTCACTGTTGCTGGCCGTTCTTCAGTAGAGAGTTTATCTCTCTTTCCTTTCCTCTCCCTCCAGCTTTTCGTTCTTTGTTTTCCTTTCTCACTTTTTTCTTTTCTGGATTTCTAGGGTTCCCTCAAGGCTGTCGAAGATTTGCAATTTCTTGCTGTCTCTTAGGGCTAATATCTCCTCGGTGGAATCATGGAAGAAGAAGTTGCTCATAAACTAACGACATTTCAGCTATCCTCTAGAGAAGCTAATCTCATCCCCATTGACTTGTCGGATACTCACAACAATGCGGAAGTCTGCAAGCGTAGTCTATTTGGGAAAATTCATGGCCAAAAAATTGCTCAACTTCCGGGTCTCAGAAGGGCTATAGGAATTATCTGGCATCTCCGGTCCCCCGTCACAATCAGAGAAATCAGCCCTAATTACTTCCAATTTGTTTTTGAAAACATGGAGGATAAATTAAAAGTTAGTAAAGGCACAGGCTGGACTTTCGAAAACCAGTTCTTGATTCTTAAGGACTGGCAAGAAGATCTTCACGCTGATCATCCAATATTCAAAGATCTTGACTTATGGGTCCAAGTGTGGAACCTTCCTATCGACTGGTGTTCAACTGAGGTGGGCTCAAAAATAGGCAGTGTCTTCAATCAGGTGAAGAATGTCTCAATACCCCAGAGTGGTTGGCTTGCAGGTAAATGCATCAGACTGCTAGCTACGATTGACTTGTACCAGCCATTATTGAGATGTGCTACATAAATGCTGCAAAACAGAAAAATCCTGGTGGATTTCAAATATGAGAAGCTAGTTAGTTTATGCTTCTATTGCGGTTTTCTAGGTCACCAAGACAGGAATTGTGTTTTGAGATCTGAAGAAATCAAACAGGGTACAGTTAAAGAAGGCCTATTTGGGGAATGGCTTAGAGCCCAAGACTACCCCCACCTTCACCAGACTGCTTCTCATAATGTTAACTCAGAATCACCTAAACCCAGCAACAGTTCCCCCTCCAAACCTTCCCCACCAGATAAAACTTCATCCCTTGTCTCTAATTCAGATAATACACCCCTTTATTCCCCTCCTCCTCCAAAATCTCAATTTACCCCTCACATTAAATCTTCTGACATCATTGAACCTTCACCTCTCCCTAACACCTTGAACTCTGATCAGTTCATGGTGGTTGATCCACTTTTCCCCTCAGTTAATCCTTCTCCTTCCAACCCTCAGCCCTCTGATTTAATCCCTATTCCCCTCATCTCTGTAATCTTACCCATCCCTCATAAAGCTAAAACCTGGAAAAGAAAATCTAACCCTAAGCCCTCCATTAAAGCTATCACCCTCAAATCTCCATCCTCCATAGTCACAAGGGGAAAAAGACAACTTCCTATCAACCCATCCCCAGATGTAAACCTCTCATCTCAATCTAACCCCCCTTCTCCCCCTTCCAAAGTATCCAAAAAACAAAAACTTGCTCTGACAGTGGTGAGGGAGGCCAGCCCAGAATGGCCCCACCCCCATCAATGAACTCCATATTCTGGAACTGTAGAGGGTTGGGTGGCCCCTCTACAGTCTCCCAACTCAAGGAGAGTTTGAGACTCCACACCCCAATTTTTACCTTCCTTTCAAAAACCAAAAAAAAAAATAATTTTGTTAAGACTGTCTGCAGAAACCTAGGTGTAGGAGATAATTGGTCCTCTTTTGAACCCAATGGCAAGAGTGGAGGTCTTCTCCTTCTTTGGCACTCTTCCATTAAGGTTATTCAGACCCTTAAATGTTCCTTTTGCTTCCAAGTACATTTTTGGGATCCTATTTTGCAAGCTTCCTGCTGGGGTATCTTCATCTATGCCACCACAGACCAGGCCACTAGAATTGAGCAGAGAGAGTTCCTTCTTCAGGAAAAGCAGAACTGGGGCAAATTTTGGTTTGTGGGTGGAGACTGGAATGAGATTGCAAGATCTGAAGAGAAAAAAGATGGCAAAGCTAGACCAGAATCTTCTTTCAGAAAGTTCAATGAATTCATCCATAATTTGGGAGGTCATGACCTGGGGATAATAGGGCACCCATTCACATGGGAGAACTGCAGAGCAGGTGAGGAACATGTGGAAGAAAGGATTGATAGAATTTTTGCCTCCATGGATTGGTCATCTTATTATGCCTCTGCCCAAGTTCACAATATTTTCAGATCTTCATCAGATCATTGCCTTCTTCTTATGAAAGCTCAACCTATTCAAAATCATCCAAAAAAGAGATTTCTTTTTTATAAAAGATGGCTCTCCAGACCTGGAATTCAAGAAGTTGTTGGCACAACATGGTCTTCAACCCATGAGGGTACTCCTATGTTCAACCTTCAATCCAAGATCAAAAACACTAGAGTGGAACTTCTTAAATGGAGCAAGGACTTTAATTCTGACAGAAAAAAGAAGATCCAGCATCTTCAAAAAGTGTTGGAGCAGCAAAGAAATCTTGGTAACAACAGGGATTGGAAAGTTTGGAGTGAATGCAAAAGGCAGCTCAACTTGGAGCTTACCCTAGAAGAGCAGTACTGGAGCCAAAAATCCAGAATAAGTTGGCTCCAAAATGGAGATAAGAATTCCAAGTATTTCCATGCCCAGACTGCTCAAAGAAGAAAAACCAACAGCATCTCGAAGATTTTCAAAGAAGATGGCACTCCTTGTTCCACTCTAGATGATATCACTGACTGTATTGAAGAATTTTACTCTCAGCTTTTTACCTCTGAAGGCTCTTCAGGAGGTAACCATCTGTTGAATAATATTAATCCAGTCATCACGGCAGACATGAACTCTGAGATATTAGCCCTAGTTGAGGAGGCAGAAATTAAAGAATCTCTCTTCAGCATTGATGGTAGCAAAGCCCCGGGCCTTGATGGTATGACTTCTACCTTTTTCCATTGTTTTTGGGATACTATTAAGGCTGATTTCTGTGCCTCTGTCTCTAGTTTTTTTGAATCTGGTAGAATCCTTAAAAGCTTTAATCACTCTCTTATTACTCTCATCCCTAAAATCCAGAACCCTATTTTTGTCTCTCATTATAGACCTATTAGTCTCTGTAGTGTTTTCTACAAGACTATTTCTAAAATTCTTGCTAATAGGCTTAAAAAATTGTTGCCCCTTTGCATTAGTGATAGTCAATCAGCCTTCATTTCAGAAAGGCAAATTCTTGATAATGTTATTATTGCCCATGAATCTTTGCATTTTCTCAATAGGCATAGATCTGGAAATTCTTTTTATATGGCTATTAAATTAGATATGTATAAAGCTTTTGATAGGGTTGAGTGGCCTTGTGTCAGCCAAATCCTCTGTAAATTAGGGTTTCATTCTTCTTTTATTAATCTGATTATGGCTTGTCTTTCTTCTTCTTGCTTCTCCTTCAATATTAATGGGTCTCCCAAGGGTTTTGTTCAAGCCAGCAGAGGTATTAGACAGGGGGACCCACTGTCCCCCTATATTTTCATCTTGATCTCTGAGATTTTCTCTAGCCTGATTAAAGCTGAAGTCTCCAATGGGAATTGGAAGGGTCTCAAAATCAGTAAAAATGGCCCTAACCTCACCCATATCCTTTTTGCAGATGATACCTTACTTTTTTCCCAAGCCTCTAATGACCAAGCTCTCCTGTTGCTGGAAATCCTTAACCAATACCATGTATTCACTGGTCAGCTTGTCAACCTCTCTAAATCTTCCATCTTCTTTAGTAAAAACACCCCTCCCCATATTCAAAGGCAAATCTGTAACACCCTCAATGGCATCTCTGTCCACACTTCCACTAAGTACCTGGGATTACGTCTGGGGTTGGGAAAATCCAAAATTGATACTTTTTCTTATGTGGAGAACTCAGTGAAAAAAAGAATTTTGAACTGGAAATCCAAGTTTATATCACCTGCAGGTAAAGAAGTCCTTATCAAATCTGTGGTGAATGCCCTGCCAATTTATTCAATGACTTGCTTCTTGATTCCAAAAGCCATCAAAGCTAGTATAGACAAAGCAGTTGCAGAGTTCTGGTGGAGCAACAGTGAGCATAAGAAGAGCATCCACTGGAAACCTTGGAATATCATCACCTTACCTAAGATTCAAGGAGGTTTGGGGTTTCAAGACATCCACATCATGAACAAAGCACTCATCACCAAGCAAATAGGGAGGATTCTTTCAAACCCCAACCTTTTGGTCAGCAAAGTTCTAAAGGCAAGGTACTTTCAGGGTGACAGCTTCTTCAACATTAAAAAAAAGCAGAACAACTCTTGGTTATGGAACTGCTAGTTAGAGGTAAGGGACTCTTTGATGAAGAACAATCAGCATGGAAGATTGAGATTTGATATCAAAAATAGGAGGAATATTAACATCTAGAATCAACCATGGATCCCCTCTATTACTAAAATCACAAGTGCACAAGGACAGAGCAACCTTACCTGGGTCAGTGAGCTAATAGATGAGACTGGAAGGAGATGGAACATAAACACTCTTCATTCTATTTTTTCCCCCAGAGAATCTGAAGCCATCCTTCAAATCAAAGATCTTGATCCTAATGGTGAGGACAGGCTTGTGTGGGATAGTAATGGCAAATGCAAACCTCTATCTGTCTCTTCTGTTTACTCAAGCTTAATGAAAGATAAATTGAATACTCTTGACCTGGCAGAGAGTAGTAAAGATCAGAAAGCAGTAACTGGGATGAGGAAGAGAAGTTGGTCTCTCAAAATCCAAGGGAAACTGAAGCACTTCCTCTGGAAATGTGTGTCTAACACACTTCCTGTAACTGACAACCTGTGGAGAAGGAAAATAGCCCTAGACACAACCTGTAAATGCTGTGGTGAAGATGTAGAAACAATAGAACACATTCTTTTGAATTGCCCTGTCTCTATTGCTGTCTCGAAATTGTCACCATTAAGCTGGGATGGTCAATCTTTATATACTTCTTCATTCAAAGAATGGTGGACTCAAATCTGCTCTCTCAACCACTCTTCCACTTCTAATGATAGGCTTCAACTTACTGTGTACATCCTTTGGAAAATATAGAAAGCAAGGAATCTCTGGACCTTCCAAGGAATTAAAAAACCAGCTTTCTTTATTGTGCAATCTGCTGTGGGGAACTGGATGGAATTTACTGCTTCTCTCTCTCACTCTTCTTGCTGATTTATTGTGGTTCTGATATTTGAGTTTGGGTTTTGGCTGGGCTCTATGAAGTGATGATTGCTTTTTGCTGTTGTGTTTGATGATGAACCTGTTGTGATTGTTCTTCTGGAGGTTCTAATTGATTGTGGAGCTTTATTCTGTGGCTTATGGGGAGTTTTTGGTTTCAGCTGGGGAAAGTGATCCCCATGGTTTAGCTTTTGTAGATTTTCTTCTTGGTCCTTTTGTGCTCTGGAGCTTGTTCCTGGGAGCTGGTGTTAGCCTTTGCAGCTGTTGGTGGTTGTTGTTTTTTTAGTTTGGATCTCTTTTTGATTGCCTTGGCTTTTGCTGCCATGTTTTTCCTTTTTAGCTTCTGTATAGTTTGTTGCTTTCTTAGTTGCTGCAACTAGGCCGTTTAGGGCAGTGGTTGTAGTTTGTCCTTAAGCCTGCCTTTTCGGCAGCAAGGTATAATAACTCTACTCTTTGGATCTCTTTGCTTGTCAATGCCGGGAGTAGATTATTATGCTTTTATTTGTAGGTTCTAGTGCGCTTTGTGGTGTCACTCCGTTTTTCTTTTGGGAGTCTGTATGGGTGCTTTAGCCCGGATTGTTTCTTCTATTTGAATTATAAAATCTATCGTTTCCAAAAAAAAAAAACAAGTTAGGTAACAAAATAAATTTAACAATATATATTTATAATTATTACAATTTACTTGATGTTATATATGATTTTATTATGTTTTGTCTAACGAAATGATAATAAGATTTTATTTTTAATATATCTTATTTATCATAACATCATCCGTTTATTATATTTAACAATTTGTGAATACCATAAAATCAACACATTAATTAATATGCAACATATGTTGGTTATGTGCTGAAAAATGTTGGTTTTTATATCACATTCTCATATATGTTGGTTTTATTCATTTATATTTTATTTTGTTTATATTTGCACTCTAGAAGACATTGAAAAATAAACAAAAACGAGCATGCATTTTCATAGAAGTAGTCGAGCGCCGGTCAAGCTCGAGCCGAATGCTCGGCGAGCTAGAGGCCGAGCGCCAAGAAGCTCAAGACACAAGGCCGCACTCGTCCGCGGGCAACAACTCTCACGTACGTCAATGCCGGATCCTCATCGATGAGCAGCATCGCCCACACTAGCAAACAAAATCAGTGTCACTGGTTGAGAGTTGCACGCCCACATACGCCAGCGAAATCGCAATTGTTGGTCGCGAGACACCCATCAACTTTCGCCAGCGAAATAACGTTCATTAGCATGCGAGTTTCCTGCTAGCGCGACATGCCAGACAAACTTGCCCGCAAAATGCTCTCGTCACTTAAATATAGAGATGAACTTGTCATTTCTACAATCAACTTTTCGTCACTTAAATATATTTTTATATGACAAATTCAAAGATTCGTCATCTAAACACTAACATATAGTGACGAATTTTAACATAAAAATATAATAAATTATTATTTTTATTTTTTAATAAATTACTTTATTTACCACGATCACCACTCAGACCCAACTTGGAAGGCCTAGCCAACAAGCTTCCACACAAAGTATATTAACATCTATAATTTTTCCTATAGTGGGGATTTGAAGACATGACCCCTTGATTCTCAAAGTGACTTTTACCACTTGGCTATATCAACATGATTTTATAATTTTTAAATTTATTAACTACTACATGTTTTTTTTTTTTCAGAACGATAGAAATATATATAGATAAAAATGCGTAAATATGCAAAGTTACAATTTATGGCTGAATAATTATAGCCAAAAGCTGAATAAACTGGGAGGCCGGTCAGAAGACCGCCTAGAGCCAACACTAGCAATGCTACAAACAAAAAGAAAGACACTAAAAACAACGACAAAGCTCCCAAAAGGAGAATAAACAGAAAACGATCCTAAAGTAATAATAGCAGAGGCCAACGGTCCAAACTAAAGACATGAGACCAAAAGAACAAAACCAAAACTTAAAAGAAAAAAGACTAAAAACTAACAACGAGCCCTTTCCAATCAGCTAGACCAAACAAAGCAGTGGATCAGGTCAACCCAAATGGTGTCCCACAACCAATGAGGACCAACCTCGAAACTGCCAAAAACCAACTCGGTTGCCTAACGGAGGTAATCCAAGCCCCGAGACATCAACCAAAGCCAACACTTACCACGACCACAACACCCGAATTTCCCCCGAACCACCACTAGACCGAGCCCTCTAACACCAATAGCGAAGCTCGACAGTACCCGGCTCGCTCCTGAAACTCAATACAAGAGAAACATAAGAACAGAGCAAAAGATCTGTGGCCACAACCCCGACACCCCAAACCACCTGAACGCCGTCGACAGCCCTCCACACCAAAGCTACTCTACTCCGCCCAACACCACTGCCAGAAATCGAAAACACCTATCCTCCCTGACCCAACACCAGAGTACAGAGGAGGAGGAGAAGACGAACCTTGCCCCGATCACGACCCAAAAAAGTCGACGACCTGGCCTCTGAAGACGGTGCCGAAAGGACAAAGACCCCACATGGAATAAAAGAGCTCACTCCATCGCATTGACGAGGCAGGTGCAAGAAAACAGAGCGGGGTCCAAGCAGCTGAGGGCCGACCTCCGGCTCGAACTCAATTGCCGCTAAGGCAGGCAAATCGGAGAAGAGGAATGAGGGTAACGACGGTGAAGTTAGGGTTCAGATTCGTAGAACACTGATACACAATAGCCGTGTAATGTATTAACTTTTAGAGCATGTTTGGATATGAAAATATTTGGTTTTGTTGGATTTTTTGGTTTGGTTTGGTTAATTTTGAAAAATGTAGTATAATTAATTGTTAGTGGGTATATTAAAATAATATTTAAAATAAAATAATTAAAATTTTATGTGATTGTTAGTTAAAATAATGTGAGTGGATGAATAATGAATTATGGTTGATGTGATGTGTATAAATGATTGATTGGTATTATTTTATTATATTGAAAATATTGATGATAGTGGAGTTGAGTTAAGTTGAGTTAAAAAAAGTTGTTGAGTTAAAATGTTGTTTTTTTTTTTGTGAGAATTCTTGTATTATTTTATTTTTTTTTATTTTTTTATTTTTTTTTCCAACGACATAAAATTCTCATTAAAAAGCGCCAAAAGGCAATGTACACGAGCAACGCCTGAATCCTGGGTAACTGGGAGGTTACAATAACACCAATGCAACCTAACCGGAATACAACTCGCAAAAAGAGAATACCTACCACCACAAAAACAAACGAAAACCACAACAACACTACTAAAAAAAGAGAGAACCTCCCAACAGGAGAATACTCGAGTGCGCTCCCAACAGGAGATTTAAGTTGCACTCGAGCCCACAGGGACAAACCAAACACAAAACAACAAAAAACTACAAGCCGACAAAAACAACACAAAAGGAAAAACAGAAAAACAACAAAATAAGAAAAATAAATAAACGAGATGAGCCCTTCCTCGTCGTACGACCTATCCCAACCAGCAGTGAAGCAATCGACACAAGATGGATTCGAGGTCAAGAAGCCCCTTACTGAAACTGCAGAAAGCCTAACAGTAAGTTCAAACTAAACCCTAAAATGCATCCCCGAGTCGACCCGCCAATGACCGAGAAAGCCGCAATCAACCCTCACACCGGAGCCACCCATCCTAACCTAACACCACTAGACAAGACGGATAGCACCAAACCCCGTTCGCCTAACACCACTAGCCGAACCAGGAGGGTGAGCGAAAACCGAGCCATCAACCCCAACCACCGCAACATGAGCCGCCACAGCAATCGAGGGTC